TAACCCTCCACCCAGTCATAATAGATGACTGGGGAGGAGTCTGGTGTCCAACAAACACTCTTTCCTACTCGTCCCAAACACTCCTTCCTACTCGTCCCTAGGGACGACTGAGAATCCTGGGACCTTCTTTACATAATAACATTAAATTGGCAATGGACTCAATTTTTGATGTAGAACTTGGCAACGGTTGACTTGTTGGAGAACGCTTATTTGACAGCGGCGCTTATTTGAAACGTTCTATTTGCAAGAACGGTAGCAGGTATTACTTCCTCTAAACTGTCGTTATTTACAGAGGGCAAAAATAGCTTACATAGAACAAAAGATGTGCCCCCTTCCTCATTAAAAACAACAGCAGCATTAAAAACCTGCATCAACAATATTTCAAAAACTCATAAAAAATCAATAAACGTTGCAGTGGTGCAGGGGAGGTGATGCTCAAATGTTTTTGCTCCGAAATGTGGAGCTTATTCTAGGCAAGAACTCTTAAAAGTTAATACAATGTAATCATTGTTTGGAGAACTGCTAGCCTAGTAACTCCAACAGTGAACATCATTATCTACTTAGATTCTACCTGTGTATTAAGGTGAGATATAACCCCATGCACGTCCTAGTTTAAAGAGCTTTCTTGGCTGAATTAGACATTGCACTTTTAGATCTGCCTGACTTGGGCCTGGGTGCTGGACTGCAAATAAAACGAAAACAGTCAAGTGAAAGAAATGAAAACAAGAGACTGACTGACTGTTATGGCAAGCATTGTGCAATAATTGATTAGTTGGTAATTTCAGTCACTCATTATCTCACTAGAATAATTATTTCTAAGGCTGCAATTGAGGAATTTTTCACACAAAAAAATACTGAATGTTAATAGCGGAGAAAAGGGCCTCAAATTTATTATTACTATCATGTTTTTGTTTTTTCAGTCCAATACATCAATTGCAGCATGCAAAGAAAGTACTGTCCGATATCCTGGGGATAGTGGATTTTGCTATCAGGCAAGTGAATTCTGCTCTTATCTTACCCGATCAGCAAGTGAAGTTTTTTGGGGTATTGAAATTACAGAAGAAATATTATCAATCCTGTTCATCAAAATGACTTCTGGGCTAGTACTTTCCAACTACAGCCTCCCTGCATGGCAAGCTGTAAAAACTGACTTTCTTTGCACTCTGCAATTGGCATTTTTTCAAAGCTGGGCTACTCACATCGAAGTGAGGCCTTAACTAGATCTGCAAATAAGAAGACCAGCAACTAACAAAGTGTGCAAACTTGTGAGGGGGGCACAGAAGATTCTATTTTTCATAGAACTGGACTGACAATGTGGCAGTGGCACGTTCTAGTGCAGCTGTGGGAACTAGCTGGTGTTGAGAAAGATGTTTTTTCAATCAGTGATACAGATGGCTCAGAAGAAAATAATCTGAGTACTCCCAACTGGAGTGGAACCTATGATCCTAGGCCTTTGTGTTACAAATACTGCCCAAACCTCATTCCCTGGTTTTCTCCCCTGGGAACAAGGTTGATACTTCCCAGGGGTAAAATTTATGCAGCCACCAGTTGTTCAAAAGGTGGACAACGCTATTTAATGGATAAATCTTTTTCCAGTGGAGGGCGCAATCGGTTTTCCTCATAAATTAATACTTATCCACTACATAGTGATTTATCCTGTGGATAGCACTCAGAGTAGACGTCTGAGTTGTCAAGGTAAGCAGCCAGTCCAGGGATATTTTAAAAGATGCCATCTGTAAAGAAATGCCAAGCAGAGTAGCTGGCTGTTACTAACCAAGTAGGAGGTGATTTTCACTGGCAGCCGGCTACTTTTGACAACCTTGCACTATCCAACATTTGAACAACTGTGGACAGATCCTTTAATTTTATTTAAATTACGTTTACTACAAACCTGCTAAGCTCTTGATCAGTCTCCTCCATGATGGCAGATTTGTCAGGCAAGGTTGCTGTTATCAGAGAAGAAGTCAAACAAAATTAATTTATTATATAATGTTAAAAAAAGGCATCCAATGGGACCAATAAGCAATCTCAAAATGTGTCAGTCCAACTAAAGTGTATCAACTCTACCTATGCTTTCATTGACTCCAGCATGTTTGGCAAGGCCAATGAGGAATCCATAAAAAGTCACTCTCTCGACAGATGATAGGAGATCTTTGATTACATCAACAGGAGGGCAGCTGCAAATAGGAAGGTAAAGCTTTTAATGGCTAACACCCTCGTCTTTTAATGAAAAATTATCTGAAAGGTGGAGTTCTCACAGCTATACAGTTCATGTTTTGACAGCTTTCAAATTGCATTGCCCTGCCATGTCATTTTCAGTTTCACTTTTTATCTTCAATGTCCTTTACAAAATGACTGATATCAACCAATATCACATTTTAGATGATACAAGTTTTTGCTCCCTGCTAAAAGTTCTGACATAAATAATAATCATAATAAACCACTGTCATCACAAAGTACATGTACATGTAGTTCTAGCTGTATTTTAAGATCAGTCAGCCACTGGATTCTCGCTTGTGTCTGTGCAATGGAGACATCTAGCATTAAAACCCTAATCACCATCTTCAGAGTCATTCAGCTTTAATCAACCATTCGGAATTTGGCAAAATGCCCCTGCAAGCACAGTGGAGACAATCTACATGTAGGTCTCACTTTGGATCTGTGGACCAAATCCTACAGTGCAATCAATTTAACATACCCTTCTCGAGAGCACGTTTGTATGGTAACCTTTTTTGTTTGTCAGTATTACTTATTACAAAATGAAAAATTTGGAATTTTTTCTCTACTTTTCACTTTGGGTCTTTCTGTGAGTAAAAAGGTTAAAAGAAGAAAAGTAAAGTATGTGCCTGAAAGAACCATTACTGGTACGAATGATTTGTAGAGCAGCCTCCAGGATGGAAGCAAATTTGCATGGTACCATTTTTGTTTCTCAGTATTTGACAAAATGAAATTTTGATTTTTATCTCCTGATTTCACTTTGGCTCATTCTGTTATTACAAGTTTAAAACACAAAAAGTAAAGTATGTACCTGAAAGTACCATTACTGGTATGAATGATTTGTAGTGCAGCCTCCAAGAAGGAATGGACGTCTACACCATCCCCAGCATTAACCTGGGATGTTTCAAGCCCAGCACTTTGAGACTGTTGTGACTTGTGTTGCGCTGGCGTGGACAGTGTTGGTACTGCTACCACAATCTGACCTGGTCTGTAGGTACCTGATAACAATGCTTGGTAGGCTCCATGCAGCTTCTCTATAAACTCTATGAGAATGATGATGGAATCCATGTAAATAAGTTGCGCTTAAATGGTCAATGCACAGAGTATTTAGGTAGTAGTTAAGTGCGTGTCATTGACATGTCAATCATAACCTCGCACTATGACTGATAACATTACTATATCCTGTCCTAGCTACATTTGTATTTTCATGAAATGGAACAGGGAAGAACTTTTAATTCAGGCAAAAAAAATCACTCTACACTAACTGCTTAAAGAAAGGTTATGCCGCCCTAGATAGTTTTCATATTTCATTACTTTTTACTTTAAAGGTCAAATGAACCAAAAAATTGACATATTTTCTTTTGCTGCTTTACCTTCACCAAACACTAAAAAGAACCATCCTAAGTGAGATTTGAGTAAAGATTTTTCTTCTCAAGCCTTTATAGAAAGATAAAAGATCAAAACCCAAGCATTTCCGAAGACTTCACCAAAACGTTTCTGAAATGGCCGCGTGATAGACTGGAGACTACGTGACGTCAACGTTGGTCATTCAGGGCGGAAAAACATTCTGCGCATCCCTTATCACCTGCGTTTGTTTGTCTCGTTCCGTGAGAGTTCTGACTGAGACTGATAGACTATGAATGAAATACACGAGGTGCGAAGGTTTGCTCCTTGTAAAGGCTTTTTTTTTGTTTTTGTTGTTGTTGTTTTTTCGTCACTTGAAAATAACTTTGGATTCAGAACAACCAATGCTAGAGTAAAAACAGATCATTCCGTCAGTCTGAGGTGGAATAAAATGTTTTGAACATTTCCAAACAGGTTTGTATTTTTCTGATAATTGTGCATTCGATTTGTGAGTTGATTTTGTGTCCAGGGTTGAATTAAAACCTGCTTGTATTCTGTTATTAATAGTTATGGTTACTTTTTTTTACATGCCCAGATTTATTTACCTTTGCAGAACCCGCGTTATCCTTGTCTTCAGTCAAAGAACCATAACGCCTAACGCATGCAAGTGAACAACCTTGTGCGCTTTTAAGCTTTTAAGTTTTAAAAGCTTTCTCAGAACTTTAGAAGGCCAGCAAGCTTACTCGAGAAGAAAAGACTACTTCGCTCATTTTTCTGTTGCTCACGTAATAATAGTCAGAGCTTTTTTCCTTTAGTTTTTTCAGTTTAATTACATAGTTTTGTTATCTTTCTGTACGCAAATTTTCCTTTCACTCGCTGTGAAGTAGCGGAGAATGACAACTGCCGGCAGTGACTCCAAAACAATCGACTCTTTGCCCGTAAACAATTGCTGGAGCTGGATTTAACTGAAGCGAGCAAAACAAATCCTTGTGTGCAGTTTTCTGTATTTTCCAATGATTCAGTTTGCTGAGTTTAATTTGCTTGAATGAAGACCCTCGCATGGACCAGTTATTAAAAGTAGCTAATCTAGCTAAGTAGTCGGAATCATGGCTTGGCTGCGAAGGTTGCAACCGATCTTTTGCTTAAAGATCTTTAGGTAGGTTGTTTCTGTGCAGAAAATTCATTTCCTCTTTGTCAGCAGGTGTAAGAGCCTTAAACCTTATGTTTTTAATGAAAATTTGTTGTTTTGCAACCTTATTGAAGCTTTTTTTAGTTCACTTAAGCTGAATTTTATGCATGATGAAATTGTTCTTTGCTTGTCGCATCTCTTTGCCAGTGGCATCTATGGTCCTTAACCCATTCGCCCCTGAACCGCCCGTAACCACCCGTGCAAATCCAGGTCCTTTCTACCCTTTGTGACGTCATCAGTTTTAACGGTCAAGGACAACTTTCTTCGCTAACTTGTGTAGAGTGAAGAGATCTTTCAAACCATACCAGAATGACCACAATTTAGTCAAGGACACCGGAGAAAGAAGCAAAAAACCACATGACATTGACCTGAAAANAAACCACGTGACAAGGACCTGAAAATCTCCATGAAAATCTTGTTCCATTACCCACCTACCTTTCCTTTCACCTAATCCTAAGATCCTAAAAGCTTTCCTAAAAACTCTTCCCACCAAAATCAAGCGTACTAAATGCCCAGCAAGAGAAAAAAAAAAAAAAGAGGCAAGAAAAGCGAAAAAAGAAGGGAGGAGAAAAAGCGAAAAGTAAAAGTCAAGACTGCTGTGTCACTTTTAAACCCAAAAACTATGTCGAAATTTTGCTTTCTGTGCATGCCCGAACTTTGCAAGCTGATGTTTTGCATCTGGATCAGAAGGCCGCCAAGTGTACGACCTGTAAACCGGTTTGTGGTAAGTTTTACCCCTTTATAGCACAACAGTGACCAGAAAACCACTCGACTAGCTTCAAAACGCATTTTTCGGCAAAATCTTCAGGAGCGAATGGGTTAAAATGACCTCAATCGGTAATTAAAACTTATACATAATTGGAAAGAAGTTTTTGCAATAATATGACTTTAACTTTGTTTGAAGGAAATCTTACTGATGCGTAGGTTTTTGACGGTGTTATGCATGTTCAACTTGACAACACAAAGCAAAATTAATCTGCGCGAAACGATCAAGTTTAAAAAACTATAGTTGATTTGAAACCGATCTTGGGGAAGATTTACTAGATGAACTCTTTTTCTGCCCACATATCAACGCCAAATCTTCTACATTGAGGATTTTGTTTATATTTTAGTGATCTGCGACACTAGAAGTGTCCGATCGAGCGTGGGTTTTAAAATATAAGCTCGCTGAGTGCGACAAAGTTCAGTGACTTCAAACACATTGTGGGCAAACTTGAATTTCTTTGGGCAGATTATTATACAAAGATATTTTGTTTTTGTGTCCACGGTGGAGCTCGGGACCTTATATATCCAGGAACTTCCTTATATGAACACATTTTGTGAATGCATCTTGAAAAAAATCGGACTTACGCGCGCACATTTCCAGGACAACTCAAGGAAGTTAGTAAATGTAGTTAAAGTCCGTTGTATTCTTCAAGAAAATTAAATAATAAGAAGGTTATAACCACAGCTTGCAACTTTTGAAGACAAATTGCCTGTCTTTCCAGGTTTATGACCGCACAAACCACTTGTGTGCCAAGTCGACTTGAAAAACTCTGTTTTGAATTTCCCGCTCTTTTTCACCTGACCAACAGTGACGTCACAAGCTGTTTTTTCCAACAATTTTTCCGACCGCTCTACGAAGATAAGGGCCAGAAAACAGCAATTTTTAATTGCGAATATCTCAGAGATACTTGCTTCAATTGAGCTGAAACTTCATAGTATGTTTATTTGGTTCATATTAAACACATTTCACTAGAATTGAACTAAAATAAAAAAGGTCGAAATTTTGGTTCACTTAACCTTTAACTTTTTCTTTCTTTCTAATTTATTTATTCATTCTTTGTTTTGTATGTATCCAGTATCACCAGCTTAACCTAACTTGATTAACCTGAATTCTTTTCTTGTTTTACTTTAGAAATCGCTTTAATTACGTAAATTTTATAAGTCATTATACTTTAGTTTACAGGAAATCAATTCTTGTTGTTGTTGTTGTTCATAAATTACATGCATTTTAGTATTAAATACTCAATTCAAAATTGTACCTTATCAGGCTTTTATTCAGAATTCAGTTGCCTTAAACCTGTTCTCCTGGATGCTCACTGAGGGTTTAAAGTTGGTTTGCTGTGCAACATAGTTTTCCTAATCTTTGCATTTCCCCCTGTTTATTTGATTTTTGCATTGCTGGTACTTATCATAGTTTCATAAGGTCCCTACTTATTCTGTTAAACACAGAAATCTTAGACCAACAATTGGCGACCACATTAGTTGAGACACTTTGCCATTAAGCGTTTTTCTGACGTTTTACTGACTTCAAAAGGGGAAAATGAAGATTTCCTGTCCCCCCCTCACCCCCCATCCCATCCATGTAATGTAACGGTCAAATCGAAGCTTCAACATGCCCCCCCCCCGGGCAACCCCCCGGGCATTTGACTTTTTTGAAAATTATTGTTCAAATTCCCCCCTACCCGGGCCAAAATGCCGTTCAAATGCCCCACACTGGGGTCCATTCAGGTGATCAAATGCCCCCACCCTAGGGACATTTCACAGGCACAAAAATGACAGAAGGACGGCGATTTACTACGGACAAAAGTCTCGTGCAAAGCGGCGGAAATCGCTGCTACAAGGTCACTGAATGCTCAACTTTTCTTCGTCATGCAACATACAAAGCGTTCTCTAAAAAAGATCCCACCTATTGAGATTACTACATCATCATCATCATGACATGCATCATCACTCACCTTATTAATTAACTTACTTGCAGTAGGTCAAAGTAGTTGACTGAGCTTTTTATTTTATTTTATGTTGTTGCATTGAATCGCCGGTAGAGGTATAGAAATACGGTCATACATTCAAAGCCTGAATCCAAAATTAAAAATTTTAAAATTTAAATACTTCAAATACGCCACAAAGCTTGTTTAAGCCCTTTCCTCGTAACCAATTGGCCACAATGGCACAATTAATCTTTTCCACGAAAATCTGATAACACCGGGGCTCCCATAGCTCGCCACGCCAAAGATTTTACATGAAATTGAGGGTGCAGTTCAAATTCCCCACCCCTAAAGCATGGGGATCAAATTCCCCACCCCCTGGAAAACTCTGATAATCAAATTTCCTCCCCCCTGGGACAGCAAAGGTGTCAAATGCCCGGGGTATGCCAGGGGGGGGGGGGCATGTTGAAGCTTCGATTTGACCGATACATAATGTTGTAATGCTATTCGAGCTACTGGCAGAAAACAAACACCCAACTTTGAATTGAGGGGAAGGGGGAGTGGTTTTGTTTGTATTGTTCTCTGAAGTTACCTTGTTTGTCGCAACAATTTTGTTGCTGATTGTAACCTTCCGTTGCAAACACCAATAGAGTTTAAAAGATTTTCAGTTCATATAAAATGCATTTGTCTCACCGTCATAAAAGAACTGTGTCTGGAAAGCATAAAGGAAATCTGGAAAAGACATTAGACAATCCATAGCATCCTCCATCAAAATAATCCTGTGGGTTTATAAAAATCACCATTAACTTAAGCAAAAGACGTAACAAATTATTGCTTTATCAGAGTGAAATAAACCATCTTTGGTTGATGGGGGAAAGGAAAAAAACCTTATAACAGTGATGTATGTATAGAGGAGATAATTTCTAACAAGGAGAACTTACCTGGCAGTTTTTTGGACAGGTTCAAAAGGAAAGTCAGGGCAAAGAAGACAAATAAGTGAATGGTATTCTTTTGCACATAGTAAATCTGAAGAACAAAAAGAAATTAATCAGTGGTGTCAACTAAATATACCTAAATGTACATGTGTAAACAAAAAAAATTAAAAAACATACAAATAATACACAGTTAACACTGGATTACCAGCTGCTGTTCAAATTAAAGTGAGCTTACACTAATCCCTTTGTTTCTCTCTCTGGAAGGAAAAAAGACCCCAGCTCAGGGAGTGGCAAAATTAAGCCTAAGTACAACAAGACAACAAGTTATTTCCATGGGTGTGAAGACCCTTACTTGTAAGTTACAAGTACTGTACCTCCATTCATCCCTATGTGTCTAAAACATTTCCAAAACACTCGGATGAAAGATGCTGTGTTGTGAGGTGTCTTTCGAATGTAGCTGTATTCCCTGAACAGAGTGTGGTTTCCTTGCACAACACTCCTAAAGCTGCAAGAAAAAAATTATGTGATCTCATCCTTCCAAGGGCTTTTTAAACCAAGACAACACAAAACAGTAAATTGAATACTATAGATAAATCTATAGGTCTGGTAAATACATGTATATTCAGGGGTGGTTATCCCCTCTAACCCTCCCCCTGGATTGACCACTGGCTATGTTTTCACATCATAAACATGAATTGCATATAGAGAACACCTAAGGCTAATATCCCATACATATTAACCAGAGTGGCCTCCACACATTGTGGAAGTAAGAGAATGGGAAAAAAAGATTTCACATTTTCCTTTTAGGTTTTAGTTGATCATTTTATTCATTCTTGTAACCTCTTCTATTGCATTAGCGGAGTTGAGTGGGATTTCATAACCACTTTCTTTTCTCATCTACAATGCCACATTGGTGAATTTAGCAACAACACCATGACATAAAACCAAAATCATTGTTCCTCAAGGTTTATTAGCATTAGCATCTGTAACTTGAGTGCCTTTAGAATGCAAATTTATGTTAAAGCACAGTATAATTATTAACAAGGCGAATTTACAAACTGGGAGTACATTCAATGATTCATGTAATTTGGGATTTCAGAAAGTGGCAATCGGGTGAATAACAAGGTGGCTGCATCAAAGGCATTATCGATGTTAACCCTTAAATTTTTGTCTACCTGGGACTTAAAAGTCCCATGTGTGAGCAACATCAGTTGTCTCCTAACGATATCACTATATAATCAAGAGAAAAGGTTACGAGTATTAATAAAATGATAACCAAATAGAAAAATGCTTTTGTTATGTCTGCTGTCTTGTGTCTTGTATCTGCTGTCTGGTTTCTGGAGTCTTCTGTCTTTCGTGTTCTGTCTTTTGCTCTACTGTCTGCTGTCTGGTTTCTGTTTTTTCTGTTTTCCGTGTTCTGTCTCCTGTTCTGGTGTCTAGTGTCTTCTGTCTATCATTTTCTGTCTTCTGCTCGACTGTCTGCTGTCTGGTGCTTTCTATCTTCCATGTTCTCTCTTCTGCTTTGAAGTTTGGAGTCCAGTGTCTAGTGTCTTCTGTCTATCATCAAGGCTGTGCTCTAAGGAAAAGTGAAGGGTGCCCAGTGCTCAGAACCTGTAAAATCTAGGGTGTCCAGCATATGATTTGTATGAAAAATCTGAGATTTTCTAGTCACCCAGGAGGAAAGTTGGGTGTCAGAGGCCACTGGGCTCTGCTAGAGCACAGCCCTCATCATGTTCTGTCTTTTGCTCTAGCGTCTTCTGTCTGATGTCTGGTGTTTTTAATCTTCCATCTTCTGTCTTCTGTGTGGTGTCAGCAGTGCTTGTCTTCTATCTCTTGTCTGTAAGCCTGACTTTTTTCTGATCTCTGATGTCTACTGTCTTCTTTTCTTGTATTTTTCGCTGAGACAACTTTTGGGACTAACAAAACAGGCTGACCCAAAAACAAAGCTCCAGCTTGCACACTCACACAACAGCCACCCCAAACATTTTCAACTTTACCCAATAGTTACAAATTTTAATTTACTACATGCTAAGCTAAGCTACATGCTACATGTTACTACATGCTAAGCTAAGCTAAGCTTTGATGATACTTTTGTCCTTTTATCTTCTGTCCTAGAGGACAGCTTTCTAAATTTATGCTCCTTCCCCCTGCAAACATAATAAACAACTCCCCAGATAAATAATCATCGCAACCGCTAACCTTTAAAAGATCTGCACAACAAGAGAAAAGCAGTGAAAATACAGTACAAGTGTTAACACCCGCTAATAAGGACCTACTTTTTTTGAGGTCTGACAAAAAAGGTATTTAAGTGGTAAATTTCTGCCAGGAGGTTTTAATCCACAGGTTCTCATTAGCGGGTGTTTACTGCACAGGCCGCCCAAACTCACGTTACGAGGGAAGGGTGTAATGTAATTTACATACCATAGGTGACGCGCTGGTGTCGCGTTACAGGCGACCACTGAAAATATAAGAGACCAGGCCCGATAAGAGACTTAGAATGAGAAATGCCTGTGACCACTGTTGCGCTTACCAACTAATTTGCATTCTGACAATTAGCACTTACACAACGGGTGCAAGGGCGGAAATGACATGTCAACTAGGCTCTTGCACTGTGAAAAAGTGAATGCCACACCCGTCATGCAAGTGCTAATTGTCATAATGCAAATTAGTTGGTAAGCCCAACAGTGGCCACAGGCACTGGACAAAAGCCAGACGTGCCTCCAAGTCCAGCACAAATGGCTCGATTTGATTGGGAAATTATGGATCATTTTTTGAGCCGATCTCCCAGAGAGGAAGAAGAGGTTTCCCTCTTGGGCTGGACCAGAAAAATTGGCAGCGGATTTGAATTTCGGTGAAAAAAATGGCATTCTTGTTGCCATTGGTCCAGGACCCCGACAGATCGAAGTGACCAGCCTTCACTTCATTTTATGAAAGGAGTAACAGTGGTTACACAATAAAGCCAAAAAAAAAAAAAAAACGACAAACAGACACCAAAAATTATTGGAAAACATTGCAGGTAATTTTTTTTTATTCATTTCATTTAAGAAAAAGGAAGGGTTAGCGCTTTTTATTGTACTCATATAACACTACTCTCCTTTCCCAACAATGTCTGGTTTTCTTTAGGAATACATTGCAGGTAAGTCTTTTTTATTCATTTCATGTAAGAAAAAGTAAGGTTTAGCGCTCTTTAGTGTGCGCAGATATCAGTAATATATTTTCCAAACAAAGTCTGTTATATTTTCAAGGGTGGCCTGTAATGCGACACCGGCGCATCATCTATGGTATCTAAATTACATTACACCCTTCCCTCGCAACGTGAGTTTGGACCGCCTGTGTTTACTGTAGTTTACCTATTAAAGAGCACAGAGAAAGATAAAACATATTAACATACTAGTCACTGAGAAAGCGAGCTGGAATGACCCTTGGATTCTCTTCTTTATGTTCCAATAGCTGGGCAACTGCATCCTGCAAATGTTTTGAAAACTCAAGTCAACTATTATTATCATTATTACTCATTTAAAATATTTCTCCATTTGATCTGACTGTCTTAAATCCCCTGGCTACTTCTTCATGACCAGCTTGTATGAGATGTGAAATCAATGACTAATCGATGTCAGGGATGAGTAATCAATAGGCCACAAAATTTTTGGCCATTGATTAGTCATCGATTACCCATTGATTATAGCAAATAATCAATGACTAATCAGTTGATTACCCAATGATTACTCACCGATTACTCATTGAAGTCGTTCATCATCGATTAGTAACGTCTGGAGAAGGGTACAATTTTGGGGGCCGTTTTGAGGAAAAAATCCGACCACCCCTCTTCAAAAACCCGCTATATATATCGTTAGGGGGTGGGCGGATCAAAAGAAATGGAATGTCCCTATTGAACTGTACTGTATATCAATTAATTAAAAACATGGAAGCACATTTCACCTGAAGGTATGTCAGCACATGGTACTTTGCTAAAAAAAAAAAAAACGACACTTCATGAGCTCATCGCTGTCTCGTGCATTCCTGCTAAAATTCTAACTGCCCGGGACCAACTTTTAAAAATTCAAAGGAGCTCAAAGCTTGTGCATTCTGCTCCACAAGCTTGTGTCTTTTACTCACCTAAATATTGCTCAGCTGTCAGAGCAAACCTATCACTTTCTGCAGTCATTTTAAAGCACCTTTTAAATCCAGTTTGAGGAAAAAATACTTCAAAAGCATACTTCGTTCATTACAACATCACAAGAAGCGGCCCTCCTGTCCTGTCACACACTTCCATTCTCAGAGGCCACGATCCTTTTGGTCAGCGCCGGGAAAACGCGCATGACAAATGGCACCCCTGGGACGAGGTTGGCGGGAAAAAAGATGGCGGAGTTGACGGATGATTCAGTAAACTTTGACGAGGAAGAGTTTTACAAGAAATTATTGTTAGAGGAAACTAGGACGCCACAAAAGTTGAATCCTGATAGATATGAATTTGTTCCTAAACCTGGGTATGTTATGAAACTGCGGAACTGTCAAAATGAGAAGGTTTTTATCAATATTTGTACCTCGGACAAAGTCCCTGTTCCAAAAGATGTCAGTGACCAGGAGCTGGCTGAAATATTGCAGTCTGTGGATCCTACACAGTACCGTGTGCCCATGAGCCTTGGAGAACCTCATGCAGAAGTGGACAATAAAGGCCAAGGTTTGGTAGGCTATATTCATTAATTATTATTCATTTGTGATGTATTTTATGGTTTGCAACCACGTGACAAGGCGGCCAGTTGGTTGACAAAACAATTCAAATTTGTTCCCAGAATTTGCATGAAAAAAGAGTTAGTTCCAAGAGGAGAGAAACTCGTTTGTTCTTGTCGACCAACATGGCCGCCGTGACATCAGTTGCAAACCAGGGGTCAATTTAATAAAACTTTTACATGTGTAATTTACAAGTCTAGCCATTGTTAATGTTTTAGAGTCTGAGAACAATGGCTATACTTGTAAATTACAAGTGTAAAAGTTTTATTAAATTGACCCCAGCAGTAAGATTAATAAGTAGATTGAGCACGATCGTCTAGCTTAATGGATTCCTGAATAGGACTACCGCACAGGTTCACTTCACTGTGAACGAGGGAGGCTGGTGCCAACCTCCACAAGTAAAAACCTTTGAATGCAGAGGTCCACTCAATGCGTTAATAAAACCTTCTGGTTCTTTATTGCTGGATCTCTAACACAAATGTTTTTTTAGGCCAGTCTTGTATAACTTCCCACCCCTCCCCCACCTCGAATCTCCATTTTCCTTTTTTATGACCTTATTTCACAGCACTAAAAAATCATTGACTATTTACTGCTTTAAAATCACAGTTCTCATCTTTAGACTCAACATTTTATTACCACTGATAAATTTTCTTTGTTTAAAACTCCAATGTTTTGCATGTTATTTTTTGGTTTGAAAGTAGAACATTGGTGAAACTTGATCCTTGTGAATTATGCATTACCTATCATGGGACTGAAAATCTGTTCTAACATTTCCAGGCATTACAAACAGTGTGATTTGTAGGTCTTCAACAAGCCAAAAATTTTGGTGATAAGAACAAATTAATACAGTCAACAGACATTTAGAAGTAAAATAAGAAATTTTAAATGTGACCAGGCATGAAAAGTTAGTAGCTACAGAATAAAATTAAGTCAGACTAGCAACCCCATGGGTCGCAAGTTTAAGGCCTAAGGACTGACAGTAAGGACCTAGCCTCGGTTGTTCAAACGTTGGACAGCACTATCCACCGGTTAAATCACTATCCAGCAGATAAGTATTATAATTAATTGCATTATCCACTGAATAGAGATTTATCCACTGGATAGGGTTATCCATCTTTTCAACAACTGGGACTAGAAGCTGGGGATTTCCTGTGGCTACTATAAGCATGATCCCCCAAGAATGGAAAGTAGAAACAAAAAACTCCCTACACGTAGCTGTTCAATTCCCTCGCCTACTAAGTGTATATAACAGGCAACTTGAAATCTTAGTGACAGCCCAGCCCAACCTTGTTGTTACAATAGCAGACATGAGAGAGCAAAGCCATTTCAATTCAAGCACATATTTTATTCTACATCTGATAATCCTAACTTAAATTACATAGGTGATAATCTACACATGACTTGCATGAGGTGTCTGTCATATAGCAATTACATAATTGACACACTTCTCATTTGCATCATCGTCCAATTTTTCTGACCTTCAATGGGGCATTGAAGTTTAACTTATTTGTCAAGAATCTACTAAATTTTTGTAGGTACAATTTATGTCTCGTTTTAGTCATTGCAAAAAACTTATTGTTTATGTTTCCCTTTAGGTTGTACTGCATATGATGTGGTCATCAATCCAGCATTTTACAGCAAGTTACAAAACAGTGAACTATTTAATAGCTTTTTCCTCACCATTGTCTTTGAGGGATTAGAAAGCAAATACAACATTGAACTAGAAAGAAACTGGACCATACTTAAAAACAAGAAATGTATGGGAGTTCTTCATCCACATTGCATAAGAAGCAAAAGTAAGCCTGTTATAATGGAGATGGAAGAAGAATTCAAATCATCTGCACCAGAAGGTCAGTTTAATGTATTTTTTTCTTGGTGACTGAATCAATACACTGTGTCACATATCTTGTTACTTGTAACTTTAAAAGAAAATGTTACAGGCTGTCTCTCATTATTGTACATGGTTTAATTATCTACATTAATAAGATCAGACAGCCTGTGTAATTTCACGGAACTTTTGCTGAATGATTTTCTCATCTTTATGTTGTGGTTAGTATATGGTTCATTTGTCGGGTCAATTAAGCTCAAATAAGACCAGTAGTTTCATGTATCATTGAAGTGCATGTATAAAAACATGTGTGCACTCCATTGATCACAGATTTAGTTTTAATTTTTTACTCTGTTATGACAGAACGGGAAATGGGCTAGTAGTGTGTCTTCCTGTAAATGTTTTTATAGGAGACAACAATAATAAACAACAAAAATGTTTTTTTTATTAATTTTACTGTTGTTTAAAAGTGAAGTATGTTGTTCCTGCACTTTCCTCTAGCCTCCTCAAATGCTCCAAAGATAGAGGAAGTTCACTCCATACCAAAAGTTCCAGAACCTAAGTACAAAATAATAAAGGAGCCACCAGAAGGAATTCCAGAGTTTCTTGTCATAGAAATTGCCCTGCCTGGAATTGTGAGTGCTATGAAATTTCTTTTTTAACACAAACTTGTATTGCAGTCTTAAACCATTATTTTAGCATGATTATTATTACAGTGATAATGCTTCATTGTTAGCTGTCTCTCAAATGACATGCCTGTGGAAGGAAGTTTTTGTTTTTGGTTTATTTTGTTTTGTTTTGTTTGTTTTGTTTTTTCATATTTGGCATTTTGAAAAATGGGTGGAGTTACTACAAACAAAGTCACCATGCAAAATTACTTGCTGCTGAGCAAAATAGCATACTAGTGGGCAAAATAACATACCACCATCCCCATCTGTAAATGAACAAATTGATGCACGGGGTTCAACATAAAAAAAAGTGAAACAAATTATTGTATAATTATCAACAAACATACTCACCTATGAAGAAGTCAAATCTAACAATGCACCAAGTCTGCTAACAAACACACTAACACTTAATGAATGAGATGCAAGAATCAAGACCCAAGTTTAATCACATTTAAAGTTTCTAAAAAGCAGGATTTTAAAATATTCTTCACTCGAAAGGATTGCAAGTAAACAAGAAAATTATGTACTGTTTTAGGACAGAACAATAACAATTGGCTCAAATGGAAGTATCAGTTCTGTCCTGCACATGTACATGCACCCTGATAACCTTTTAAAGCCCCATAAGGGACTGACTTAAACTGGGTATGATATTATTACATGTAGCTCCAGTGGTGCAAAATATGCAGCTACGTACATGTACATACCCATGGAATAATGATATTAGTAATATTATAAGAATACAAAGTAAATCCTTCCTACATTGTAAGGTAGTAAAACCACATCTAAGGTGATAGAGATGTGATGGTGAATTTTGAGCCTGGTGAATATAATAAGAAAGATGATTTTTCAGTCAGTGACAAAGGCAACAGTTCATAGGTTCAACTCCTATTGTAATTTACATTTTTTCTTCTGAACTGCCTGTGTCACTGACTGAAAAATTATCTTTCTCACAACTATGGTGTACCAAAAATGTTCTCTTTCCCCATGTAGAAATCAACAAAGGACACAACATTAGATGTTGGTGAGGACCAAGTAGTTCTTCATGTTCATCCAGCTAGATATCACCTGGACCTTGGTTTGCCATTTGATGTCAACAGTGAGACTTGTGGTGCACAGTATAACAGGAAGACTAAGGTAAAGTCACAATACAAGAAAAATAAAATGTTACTTTGTATTTTTAGCCATTGACAAAGGAACGTAACCAACAAACCACACTAAAAGTTATTGAGTTCCAGGCTCTCACTCTAGGAAAACAATCTTGATTTATCAAGTGATTCTTCCCAGAAAAGCCAGTTAACACAAAAACTTTGCTTTACAGCAAAGTATTGATCAGCTGTGTCAAGTTTCAGACCAGTCCTAGAAACTGTAATGAATTATCCCTACAATGTAATTCTGGAATAATTTTCCATTGTCAGCATAAGTGCACCAAAAATTGCAATTGAATAATAATAATATTGCAGTAAATATTACATGTACGCTGCCTAAAAGTAGAATTACTTTCTGAGAAGGATTTACGGGTGTCACAAAAAGTACCAATAGTTGTGTATTTACCGTAAATACTGAAATTAATGCACTGACCTTCAAATAAGTGCCCCCCTTTTGTACTGGTGCCTCTTTGAGACAAATAATATTTAAAAAGCACTCTCCCTGCTTCCAACCCTCATTCCTCCAAGAAAGAAAAATGTCATTAAATAATCTGGAATAGAGAGATTCCATTATGACAGGACCTCAGAGAAATGCGACATTTAAAGCAAACACACAAAGATTTGTGTTTCTTGTCACAGATACACTCCCATTTGCTGCTACAGTCTGCATTTAATGGAAAATTTGAAGTCAAACTAACCCACCACCCCTTCAAATAACCACCTCCCTTTGAATTATGCCCACACTCAACACACACACACAAAGTAAATAATTAGCCCAGGTGCTAATTCAGGCATAAAGGTGCATCATGTTTTGACAACTACACAACAATGGGCAATATCTTGCTTAGTCTGTCTTTTCAACAGTTATAAAAAAATGTTGTTAGCCTTGAAGGGAATGGAAAGAAGGAACCATAATAGTCAGAGCTTGTGTACCTACATGTACATCAAAGCAAAACTCCATGTGTCTGGTATAAATTTATAAGAAATTATTATTTTGACTCTTCTTTTCCAGATCCTGACTCTTACTTTACCTGTTATCGGCAAAAGCTAGCACCAAGGGCATTGTTAATTATCATTAATATTTTGTATTAAGTTATTCTAATATTTAGTGTTGAGTATTACTCAAATTTATCAACTATGTAATGTATGATAGTCTATAATAAACAATAATAACTTTATTAATCTCCTCAAAAAGGCTTTTCAGCTTAATTTACAATGTCAAAGATCTAAAACTTAGTTTTCCAAAAATACCCTTTAAAAATGCTGTTTTATTTTAACTTTAAATACATCTAAATTAGTGATGACTGAAACTCGTCTGGGAGAGTATTTCACAGCCTTTGGCCTCTGAAGGTAAACGCACGCTAACCTGCAGCGGTCCTACAGAGTGGTATATGTAGGCGGTCCCTATTCCTAGTGTTGCAGTTGTGAACTTCCGCTCTGGTTTTCAACTTCTGACAAAGATATGGGGGTGCAAGTACATGTTTTTCTTGGTGGTATTAACCCATACCAGAAACCCATAATGAGTTTCTGCTCATACTGATGAACAATACAATAATTTACTGAATACGAGAGAATTAACTATGTAATGTATGTAACTATGTAATGCATGATAGTCTGAGTCTTTATGAAATTTGCTGTCAAAAGGACACAGTCGGGAGGATATACTAGAATTTACCTTTTTGTTACAAAGTGAAAACTCTCACCCAGGGTTGTTCACAAATAGGATTTCTCGCAGTTGCAAAACGGACAAGCAACAGAGGCTAACCATTAATATATTGTAATAATATTATTAATGATAAAAATGTTTATTATGGGCAAAACTGGATTCCCTAGTTTTCCACAAGGAATGAAAACTGGGACATCCCCGTAGCTGTTACCAAAAGCTGGTGTCTTCCCTGGGCTTTACCCATTTGTTGTCAATGATGGCAGCAAGGATCCTGCAGGAGGTAGCATAGCTGAGCAGCCATATGTTAGAGTGCTGACTTGTAATCTGGTGATAGTGAGTTTAAGTCCCACCATGACTGCTAGAAGTTCAAATCCTGAAGCACACTTGTAAAAAGCCAAATGGTACACTTACAGGCAGTTGGGATTCTGAACCTTGTTACATGTAGCATCTGTTTGTTTAAAACTATATCAGTCCCGATTTGCTGGGCCCCACTAGCCTTTGTGTTGTAAATAAACAGTATAGCTAAGGGTTATTGTCCGGCCCATTGCAGTCGGGTATCATGTGACTTATCTCATGCCAGATTATGGGATACAACAAACCCTACAAATACAAGAGATTGAAAAAGCATAAAACAAAATCAATTGTGAGTTTGTTAAATTTTTTAGGTTTTTAACTGGACTTCTCCAAAGCATAACAAATCATCTAATGAAGATGAAATTATGGTATATCATATAATCATTTGAAATGTGGGAGAAAGATCTCAATCACTGTGTGTATTGCTGCCAGCAAGGGGCCTTTTGTGAAGGCTGTTACAAGAAACTATAGTGCAAAGCAGCCAACAGTAAGTATAGCCAAAGCCACAATACTGGCTGAAAACAGCACATTAGGCTACCAACGGCTGGTTATTACGTGTGACATAGTTTTTGTTTTATAATGTTTGAATTTTAAAGTTTTGGTGTCATGCAAAAAAAAGTGTTGGCCAAGAAAATTGTCACAAGCTTTTAAGCAATGGCTTCTTGTTTTTAAAACAAAACTAAATGATACATACAGCACTAAAATAAAGCTTAAGGTGGCTTGCTACAGTTTTCCGATGAAAACTATCGTCTTTTTGAAACTGGAACGTTTCTAGCATCTAAAGGCCTCTACTGAACTGTTTATCATTACAATTGATTTAAATTATCATTTTGCCGTCTAAAAACATTTTATTGCTTAGTATAATGTGACCTTTGCCTTGGGAGAGTAAGTTTTACCAGTTACTCACCCAGCAAGAAGAAATTTTTTTCCCAGGCGACCAGACAGGACTCTTTTCGAGCCCCGACGTCTTTCTGTTTATTTCTCGGCACCATGATGTTATCCTGGAAACCAAACTTTAATTTCACCCTTCATTCTCACTGCAATGTTATTACCCCCTCAATTGTAATATAAGTGCTCACTATAAGCTCCAGGGGCCCGTTTCTCAAAAGTCCCGATGATTAACGGGCCCGGTAAGCTGTCTCCGTTTGCATTAAAGATCGAGGTTTCAATAGTTTTGCATCTAACAGGATAAAACTATCAGTTAACGCACAAAATGCAGTAGTTTGCTAGCCAGGACCCGCGCTCTTATTCTTTTCATTTCGATTTGAATATTTGATTTCGGGCCCGAAAACTTACGGGGACTTTCGAGAAACGGGCCCCTGGGCCCAGTTTAAAGTTAACCCCCACTGGTTTCTTTTTCTTGTGTTGAAAAGCATTTTCTCGGATAATTTTCTCTGTTATTTTTAGAGCTTCCAATCATCAACTTGCAGACAAAAGGAATTAAAACTGAAATGCTTTTCAAGCTTTCAAATCTGAATTCAAATCTTGCAGTAACCGTGGGTTATCTTAACCCAGCTTCGAACAACTCGGCCCAGTATATTACTTGCCCCACTATTCTTCACACATCTCACGAGATAAGAAAATAGATTCTGCTCATTTTGTGAGAAAAAATATTACTTTAACTTCTCAATAACCATCAAATTCAAAAAAGCGATAGTTTAATACTGTTTCTGAAACATGAATTTTATTGCAATCAATATGTCAGCTAATAAAATTAAATTATGTGAATTGTATGTCATCCACTGGCAATAAATAAAGAAGAAGTCACTAAATTTAATTTGATTTTTGACACATTTAGTAGACTTGCACCAAGTCATCCTCTTTATCAGTTACGCAGGACAAACATTTGTCAGCATCTCTAAAGTGAGCAAAACAACCCTAAATGAAGCAACTTAGTGAGCGACATAGTCTTGGGACAAAACAAAACTGCACAACTGTAAGGGACATTATGAAAGCCTATGTTTAACTGCGAAATGTGGTTGGAAAAAAGCTTGTGATAACAATAGCTACTCATACTCATTTACTACTCATATTACATTACAAAATGTTACAAAACTATAATACACACTACTGATGGATCCAGACCTTGCAGTAGGAGTGGGGAAGAGGGATGTTCCCCTCCCCTCTCCCCCTTGATCTAACACAGCAGACATTGTCAGGAGCGTAGCCAGCTTTTTGACTAGTTGTAGGCCTGGCCGACTTTCATTTCCACATATCCTGAAAACTGCACGCACGACTAGTGCGCACTGACCTCACCAACACTTTGAGATCTTAAGCTTTTTAGCTCACCCCAACAACACATAATTTATTACAAGCGGTAGAGTGATTAAACCAAAAATTTGTAGGCCCGAGCCTACAGGTGTATGGGCTGGCTACACCCCTGATTTTTACTTTTAGGGCTTGTTTTTCTCTTCTTTTTTTTTTACCTATGTACGAAGTTATAAAAATAAAAATACTACACAGGATATTTAATTTAGAAAAGGCAATGGTACACAGAAACTATGGGGGCAATCTCTGAAGAGCTTCAAGAAGCCTTTTGTTACGGGGGGGGGGGGTACTTTAGGAATTTCTGGGTAGGGATGTGCCGCCGGGACCCTGGAACCCTTAACCTATACCAGAGCTAGTTTAGCTAAATTTTGCTACCCTATACTAGAGTAAACTCCCCAAATCCCCCTATCCTAGAGTAGCTGTTTCACTAGTGTAGATAAAATCTTCAACCAACTGATCAGTTTCCTGAAAAATGATACCCTATTCTAGACCCAAATGTTCTGATTTATATACCCTATCCTAGAGTAAACTGCTTGAAAACAATACCCTTCACAGCGTACTATTTAAATGTTGAAGTGGTTCCATTTGAGTGATCACACCGGAGGATTTTATCCACAGACTCAACAATTCGTCCCTCAGAGAGGATGGGTTAATTTTTGGTCTCTATGCTACTTCTGTTAAATCACCCCCGTTCGCTTCAGTTTGAAGGGCTTCTTCATATGAAGGCGGGAGGTCGAAAGACAGAGTGCAGTAGGGCGGGGGTGAACAATTCTGTTCCCCCAGTGGAGTAGAATTAGCATCATTATCATCCGCGGAAGTAATCAATTCATCCCTAGGGTATTCTGGGGGAGGTATTGTAAATCCCCCTTCGCAATCTGTGGTAAATGCTCCATTTTCTACCGCATTTGTAGTAGGAAGTGTTGACCGTCTTCTACCCTGCCGAGATCTTCTTCTTCTTCTTGATCTTCGCTGTCGCTCCGCATATCTCTGTCTACTGTACCGACTCTCGCGCACAAAACAACAACATAGAATAAGCAAAAATATTGACCCAGTCAAAATGGCTGCGGATAGAAATCCTGCCTTTGTAACCGTGATCTCTGAGCTCTCCTTGCATTTTCCTCCCTCGCACTTCTGCCCTTCAGAGCAGTCTTTCCAGCTGATACACGAAAATCCAGATCTTGTTGTTAGTGTTGTTTTGGTTGTAGGGATAGAGCACAAAAAAACATCTTTACATTTCTCGCGGCAACATTTCAATTTTCGTGAAGAGGTAGCGTTTTCAAAGCAGTCTCTATCCGAGTAGCACGTTTTTAATCGGGGAATACACTTCGAATTCAGGCATTCTTTACCAGCAGGGCAATGGCTGTTGATGATACACGAACGTCTATGACACCTTTCATTCGTACTGCAAGTGAAGTCACTCGGACAACAAATCCCGCCATGATTTGTACAGTCCCCGTTATTTGAACAAGTGGAACATGGAACATTTATAACTGAAGTACTAACGACAAGAAGGAGGAACCAAAATTGGCAAAATCCTTTCATCCCTGTTTCATCGCCGTTGGACTTGTCATGGGTGCGTGAGCCGCGAAAAAATTTTATGCACGCAAGGTTCAGATTACAAGTCCTTTACACGATCGTATTTACGGGCATTGTTTGTAACGCGACGAGTGATTTGAATAAGCACGCTGTACAGTGAATTGAAATTCAGCGAATTATACGTTCGGGAAATAGGGCCAGCAAAAATAGCATCGATTGTTAATAAAGAAAGACACCCTGTTCTATTTGGCAATTGTCTAATTGGAACAGTCAACACACCGACAGGGGACACGCAATCTTGTTACAATTATTAAAATGACCAGTATGGGTTAAAACACGGCATTTTTTATGAAACAGGAGAAAAAGATACTTTCTTTTGTTAACCATTTAAATTGAAGGCAGCAAATAAAATAAAAGATCACGAACAGCAAACGTATAAAGTGCTAAGTCATCTCTCACTGATACATTAATATTTATGTTTGCGGGTTATTTACGTCTGTAGTTACGTTGTTGCGTGACAAAAGGGACTTTAAGATCCAACGACGCGACGGCAATGAGAACGTCGCTTAAAACGTGAATGTGCGTTCTTTCAGTCTATAAATGTAGGCGAACCCTCCTGGAGTTGAATTCCTAGGCACCATATCCAAGTACAGTAAGATAAATAAAATTTCGTCCTTGCTTGTTTACGTCCTCAGTAAAACGCGAAATTAGGCATGTTCATGTCCTAGTCGTGCAAAAACGGGCAGAGAAATGTACAAAAAAGCATGGTGCACGTGCAAAGTTATTGTTTTGCTAATCAAACCTCTTGTTTTTTTTTTTACTTTCTCGTTACCGTCCGCGTTGTTGGATCTTAAAGTCCCTAAACTCAGCACGGCGAAAAACGCTTTACACAGGAATCATTATTCATTCATGCGGGTTATACTCATTTGAAGGCCATACCTTGGCATCGCCATCAACATTGTTCATATTAATAACATTCGCCGAGAGGGGAACTATGTTGAATAACACATTCAACGGCCCCGTCAAAGTGAAAAAAAGGCCAAGCAGTCTAATTAGAAAACGTTCCACGTTTTTGTGGGATATTAAAAAACATCCACAGCTTTAAAATAACGCCAAATATTAATGGGTTTAAACTGATCAACAGCTACAATAGAGAGATTAAGATTCACGTTTACGGCAAACGGCAAACGTCAGTTGAGAATTTCTCAAAATAGAAAATAAGCAGATAAAAACAGTCCAGAACGATTCTTTTGGATAAAACTGGCATAAAACTACTTATTTTTGTGTAGAAGCAGTAAACAGTAAACGAAAAATAAGAGGAAATCTTGTTCACGTGGTACAAATTCACGTTTGCCGTTTGGCGTAAACGTGAATCTTAATCTCTCTAATCTGAAATGATCGCGTGACTGGGCTTATATTCATTATGAGGTCCTCTATGGCTGTTTATTTCACTTTTGTTTTTATAGGTGACTCGGGGCCCTCCTCTCGGGGCGGGGGGGGGCGGTTATTCCCTGTAATGGCCTATACAAAAGGGGCACCTTTTCAGGCTTCAGGTATAGAAAAGGGTAGGGATTTGACTAATTAAGGTATGTGAAACAAGAGGGATCTCTGTCATTTTGGTCTGTAAAAGTGCGCAAAAGGGTTAAAAGATGTATGACCATGTATTTATTTTATGGTTGTTAATAAGTAAAGAAAACTTCCTGGTTTACTTGTTAATCCATATTTACAAGACAGTGAATATACAGCAGTTAAAAGGAGTCCAGTGTTTCAAAATTGTCAAAATTGGAAGGTATATGAAAAGGGTACATGATTTCTGTCAAAAATGATATATAAAAGGGTAACGGACTGGACCCCAGAGAAGAGCCTTCATGTATAAAACTTTGTTGAGTGCCCCCTCCCCCCTCCCTTGGTACAGAAGAAGTATAACTTTATTTATAATGGAACATCCATGTGAAACGAGGAAGAATGTTCATCCGAAATTCACCCAATCTGTGCATGGCTCAAGCTTTGTTTAACTCATAAGACATACCATTCTGAATTAGAGAGTCAAATTAGAACTATACTAAATATCATTTCAATTTTGATTTAAAATGTAGTCATGGAATGTTTTCTTCTTTCTTTTAGTTCTTCATCTCCTTCTTTCAGCACAAGGGGCTTTCACATCCAATTAGAATCACTGGATGTAACTAATGAATAACTTCCTGTTAATATACTGGTGTATAATTGCCATGAGGTCTGGAACCAAAAAATCTCTGGAGATGCTTGAATCTGTCACGACATTAATATTATATTTGGCAAGCAACTGTACCTTCCAAGAGTTCTCTGACTTTCTGACTGCCCCAGAACCAACTGACAAAAAATGATCAACTTCTAAAAAGAGCACATATTTCCAGGATGTGAGAACCCATAAGTGTTTTAGAACAGCCCAAAAGAGGAGTGGGGATGCTTGTCTTATTTAGGACCATAAATTATTTATACCCCTTGAATGAGAAAACTCCTCTCATAGGAGAATCCCTGGGGGGTTAATTTGCCTATGAGCTTGAAAAACTAAGAGACACAGATTCTTATAGTTATCAAATTCATGCCTTCATTCAGTCATTTAATCAGCTAAAAAAACTTCTCAACATATTACTATACAAACATATATTTCATTAATTTCTCACAACTTTCCCCAAATTGACTGTTGTAGTAACAAGTCATCAATACATAAAACAATTATCTCAATAATTCTTAAGCCAGTTTCAGGTGCAACGGCAGAATTTCAAATGCACCTCTTTTAGTGGCCAACATCTACTCAGTGACTCACTACCAGAGTCTCGGTAGATCATTTCTTAGCGCAGGGATATCAGATAAACAATACTTTTTGAGTACTGTGCTTCTTTTAAACAGAATCAGTCTAACATTGTGTAGCCCTGGGGTAAGGGAGAAGGAGTGTGTGACAAATGCAGACTGCAGACTTGCAGAATGAAAGGTAAATGAGGTAAACATTGCAACCTTAAACTTAAAGTCCTCTAAAAGTCTAGTTTAGGGATAGGGAATCTGTTAAAGCATTTGACAACAATGTTCACCTGCCAGTCTGCAGTCTGCATTTGTCCCACACCGAAGGAGAAGTGGTTGCATCGTATAGTTATTAGCCACTTAAATACTTGATTTTGACTCTCCCCTCTCCCATAATTTTTAGTTGTCTGTAATGCTTCCTCCCCTGTTTTCTTTTGTATTTTGGTGGGTTATTAACAGATAGTTCAAGAAAATTTATAAACTGTTATGTAGTATATAACTAGCTAGGTTTAGCCAGATGTAGCTGTAGGGAATATGATCTAACACCTGTCACACAATTATGTAATTTACTTCCTTGTCTGTTTGGGCATGGTTCAATTTGACCTGTTAGCATCTGCCCCCCACTAGGCAACCCCCAGGACAAGTCCAGCCATCTGGGCCTGGGGTTGGGGAATTGTTTAAGGCAGTCCTTTCCCGGGCGTAAGGGGGTGGGACAAATCAAGACTGTCAATATAATTATATAAATAAACAGAGATTCAGTCCAGTGTTCTAATGAAGCGTTCTATCAAGGACTCAATTTAGAGTTTTTTTTTTTCTCTTTGTTTTCAAATGTAATGTTCATGTTTTAACCACATACATGTATTATCCTTCTCTCCTAAAGCTCTAGAAAACGTTTGTAAAAGTTCTGAAAATGTCTTGTTTTGCTATTGTTTGGAAATCGCCATGGCTCTCAAAAGGGGGTGGGGAATTGTCTTCTTGTACGTGCCCAAGGTTGGGGAATACACCACCAGGAAAGAAAAAAATTGCATATCCCAAGGGTATGCCCATGCATTAATCCATTGCCAAGCCAATGGGCCACCACCAACACAACGTAACTTCAAAAGTGACCCTATATTGTCATTGCTTTGAAATCCTGCAAGAAACAATGGGTTACTCATGTGTCCTAAGTAAGATGTGTGACTGCCAACCACTGAATATTGACATGTTGAAAATACGTAAAAGGATAGTCGCCTAACTCTAACCTGACTCATATTTCATTGACTTATATTGACTGTATAATAAATACAAGCTTTCTCCTAAACAAAACGTGCTTATGCAGCACACCTACTTAATCCAGCTCTCATTTACGGTGGCGTTCGAACTAAATTAATTACAAGCTGTTTTAATCTATTTATGTTCCAAAGTATCCTAGATCCACCTGTCCGTTATAAAACTATCATGAATGAAGACCCCGAGACTGTCGTTATCGGAGGAAGGAAAAACCTCTGGCACCCAAGGTTACGTGTTCTAAGTCGAAGTCAAATTTTTTACGGCTTCGTCATAACTTGGTGGGGATTGATCTGAAAGACTCTCACTTCCTTGTCGAGCCTCGAATTGCAGTGAGCTGTAAGGTGGGGGAGCACCAGGTGGCAATGGGGTTTCGTCTTCAATAACCACTACAGTTGAGTTGGTACTTTCAGAATGATCGCTTGCTCGCAGGTTAATTGTTCCAACATTCCCCGCTTGCATTTCATGATCGTTTCTTCTAGATGCCTCTACACCTGTTGGTGGTGCGTTTATATTGACATTTCGCGAAGGCAGATTTGGTGGTTTTCTGCTTCTTTTACACGCGTAATAAATGCAGGATATTATCGTCGCTACTATGGCAGTTAACACGATTCCCATGAGTTTACTTCCACTCAACAACCCTCTACTACTAGATCCACTGCTATAGTGTCTGCACTGTCCGTCCTTACAAATCCTGCTTCCGAAGCAGTCGCTGTCATGCACGCAATCATCATGATCAGGATAAGGATCGAAAGTAGGAAAATCGAATGGGTCGACTGTGGGAATGTTGGGAATGTTGAACGTGTGAGCTTTATATGTTGGAAAATAATTTCTCTTCTCGGAGACACATCTTGACCAAACGCATCTTTCCCCTGACTTACAATCGCTGTTAAATTGACACGGACAACTGGCTATCCAACTGCATGTTCTGTTGACTCTGTTCCATCTCCGACAACAAATCC